TTGATGAAATTTGAGTTTGGAGTCTAGCGATATAAACGTGGGAGTACGCAGGAAAAAATCAAGGGGGACAATAAAAAAATCTTCAAATTAAATGACTTTATTACTTTAAAAGTTACTTAAAAAATAATAATGAATTAACAAAATGAAAAGCAATGTAGGCGATAAAAAAAGAGAGCTCCAATAATCCTCCTATTTTTAAATAAGGTGCAAGAACGTTATTTAGTATCTAGAAATAACATTCACACCCACATATGAAATCATAATCACTGTTTATTCTAACATAACCTAACATTTTAGCAGATGTACCCAACTCAATGCAAAGATTTTGAGCTAAGATGTTACAATTTATGAAGTTTATGCAATTTTTATTGACTGAGACGTTACGATTATTTCACCACGCAATAGACTATGATAATTGAAATATTTTGGTTTTACAACCGTACATGTGCTGTTAAAAATTCATTTTACATATAAAATTCACTACATACATTGTCATAAAAAAACATATTTTTGAAGATCGTTCTTATCTTACCTTATTCACTTGAAGTTTCTGTTTTGAAGCATCCTGTATTATAACTGGAATTTTTGCGAGAAACTTCTAACTAACTCTCAGTATCGTGGGGCTCCTTGTCAAGTTTTTATTAAGGTTATGCACGCGTGCGTATGAGAGAGAGAAGCAACTCTCGAGGTTTTATTCTGAACAGGGGCGGCTCGTGACCAACATTTTGGGGGTTCACAGTAGCAGAATATAGCTCTCAGTACAGATGTAGGTAAAAAACTGTTAGTGTATTAGAAAGGTATATCATAAACTTTCTAAAACACTGAAAGTTTTTTTTTATACATCTGTTTTGATATCTATATTCTGTCACTGTGAACCCCCAAAATTTTGGCCACAAGCCGCCACTGTAGCAATAAAATATTTGTTTCTAGACGTCGATAACAATAGAAAAATCTCTTTGCCAGCATTTTCGGTCGTCCAGTTTTGCTATTCACGGTGTAGGGATTTCAGACAATTGGTACACTGTGTGTAGTGACAAATCGATTAACTATTACTCTCGTATTGGTTTATATTAAAATAAAACAAAATACCGTTTAATTACATTTAATATTATTTGAAGATATATCTACAGAAAATGTACACAGGATTTATGATACAATGTTCTTAATACGTATAAACAACATAAATAAATATTTATATTACATAATAAATGAGTTTAGATATTCAATATATTAACATTAAACAATTTTTTTGGGTAATTAAGTATTAAGTAAATGCAGATTTCAAGAGAATATAATAACACGTATTTTAAGATAGTACCACATAGTGAATCGTTTTTTGCTACTGTTTTTAATTAAATATAAATAAGATATATTTTTTTTAATTATAGGAATGGGGATAATGAGACCACTAAGTATTTTAGAGATAATTTAAAATTTTGTGGAACTCTTATTAAATAATAAGACCGTCTATAAGTGATGTCGTCAGATGCGCTATAAATGGCTAATTCAAAATAGTTATTTATGATACAAGTGTGCTTTTGAGCTGTAGAATGATGTCGCAACTAGAGCGCAAAAACACTTGACACACGTGTGTCATACAACATTTTATCTACGAGCATATACCTATAAAAACAAAGATTTGTCTAAATTTTTACAAGTAACTTTTCTAAATAGCTTCTCCCTAATAGGTTTTAATTTCCGAATCTGTATTTTTTTATATTTTCGGTAACAATACATTTGTAGCCTTTTTAGCTGTTTCTGTGATTTCTGGCGGCGTATCAGAATCAAAATCTTGGTATTCAATTATGGGATACAATAGAAAATTAATAATTTTGTATAAAATACATAATCAAATCGAACTGTTAAATTAAATGCACTAAACTTACCTATTGTTCTGTGAATTAATGACAGGAAAAAGTAAAACAAGTGACACACGTTTCCCTAATGTGAATTAAAGTAGTTAGTTACATAATGGAAACTGCATAAGAACAGCACTGGTATTTATTTCTCTATTTTAGTGTTATAATAATTTGTAATAGACGATCGTATTTAAAAACCATTCGTTACTCACTCATCACACGTATCAAAATAGACATTGTTTAATGCCAGATTAGGGTTCTTTCCGCAAATGACGAGCAGTACCTTTTATGCAGGGTGTCCCATAAGTATACGGAAAAAAAATAGTATCGAATAGTATAGGTTAAAAAAAATTGCATTTTTGTCAAAGTTTTGTTATTATGTCAATCCGTTCCAAAGTTATCCACTACGATACATGATTAAAGCAACGTGTTAATCCATACTATCGATCCTAAATTCTTATGGGCCACCCTGTATTTTTTCAAATTCCCACAACAAAATTTTTATTAACTGTGATATGTTTATTCAAATATTAGGATTTTATGAGGATATTTTCTAATTTCAAATTTTTAGTGAATATTTTATAATCTATGTCTATTCAAAATAATACAAATTTTAGAATGGTTTAGTGAAATTATCCGATATAAAAATCCTAAAGTTTTTTTTTTAATTATACAAATTAAGAGTCCCACAAATTTAAATGTATGCTTTGTAATATCCTTCCTTTATTAATTAATACCTTTAAAAAGGTATGCGTGAAACATCTAAAATGTTCATAAAACTCATAAGGCGATTTAAAATTTTTAAATATGTGTAACATTCAAAATTGATATTACAGGGTGGTTCACTTAAAAGTTCCACCCACCTTATTCATATCCCAGAATGAAAAATTAAAATTTGTAATAAAAAATAAATAGATTTCGAAAAAATCCGAAATACCTAAGACATGATGTTACAGAATAATTGAATCAATTATAATAAAGTTTTCCAACAAAAAATCATCCGATATCTCAACTTATAACAGGGTGGTGGTACTTTTAAAGATCCACCGCGTATAGTTAGAGTATAAATTATTGCATATATTGTTTGTTGTATTATCTTTATCATCTTTGGTTATATTTAATGTAAAAGATATTTTTTAAAATAATAAAAATTAAAATACAAGATCTTATTTAATATACAGATTTGTAAAAAGTTAAAGCACATTATTATGATTTTCAAAATCTTAAACAAATGTTAAATGATAAAAAATCATATGAAACTATAAATCATGTGCAATTAAATTTTAATTCTGTACAACAATTTTTCTCTAAATTTTAGTTTGCTTCCACAATTTTATTTTAATATAATGAGTCTTACAAAAAATGTAAATTCAGTAGCCCAAGATTCTTAAAACTATGAATATACGCTGTTTTGAGTAGCTAAGCTATGGTTATTAATCAGTAAAGGTGCATTCATTAATTATAAGTACGGTGCGTCAACATTTCAACGTTTAAATCATAGAAATACTTTTGAAACATACCTCATAGTTACGTATCTGTTCTATCAACAACTGATCCCCCTTGCCAATAACATAAATCAACTGCCCATCAAACAAAAACATGTCAATGTGAAAAAATTACTCTCCAGCCCAACAGCGCACACATGAACATTTCGGGGGAAGATGGTTTTGTGGGGTTCTGTGCGCCATTGCTGCAGCCAGGAAAACGGACCAAGACTGCCATATTTGATCCAATCTTGGACCAGGCTGAGCAAAATAATACGAAGACTCTAAAACTGAAATCATGCAAGTCTGAGTTTATTCCATCCAGTACTTTACTACGAGTATAACAATAATAGGTATGCATTCGACAATTGGACCAAATATTAGATCGCATTAGTGCAATTGAAGTTGAACTTCGCAAAAAATCCAAGAAGATTAGAAAATGTGTCTGTTATAGCTACTTGAAAGCTCTAACGGGGTTCTCAACCTTTTTTGGCCTACCGCCTACATGTTGAAAAACTTTCCATTGAGTTAATTTTGAGTATTTTCCAGGAGGCGACAGTTGTTCCTCAGCGCCCCCTAAATTAGCCTTGGATCGAAAATGGACCCTTAACTCTCTTCATCGCAAACCGGTAGGCAGTACCGCCCCCGTTGGGAAACATTGCCGAGTAGCGCCTACTATTACCACTGCAGTAGAATTTTCGACAAGATTTCAGAATTTTTTTAAACTCACCTTAGGAGACATACGATCAGAAGATGCACTACAAACAGAAATCCAAGAAATAACTGAAGAAGCAACATCTGCATACGTATATGTCTATGTCAATATTGTAGCATTATGTATACATGGTGTCCGGAAATTGCAATTGAAACTTGTTCCTAGTATTCGTACAAATTTTTATCTTTAAAATGGCTGAATACAGATATTTTGATATAACTTTGTTGATCTCTAGCGGCCAAACGAAGCAAGAAGCAAGTTGGTATATCGGTAATTTTGGTTAAATCAATTTATTTTGAGCTCACACATATGTGGCAGCTGCATGTACACGCAATTTCCCCAATTTCCGATGGTTTGAACATCGTATATATAATAACACAAAGAATTTAACATCAGTCAAAGAGCCTGTCAATAGAACTCCAGCCCCTGAAATGAAATGGAGAGACGCCAGAATGATCAATTAGAACATTTAAAAGTTTTATTTTATTTATAAGTATATTGTTAAATTTTGTATAATAGTTGATAAAATGTTAATATTTTTGACAATAAAATGCTTTTTTACACAAAGTTTCGTCTTTCGCATAACTTCATAATTCAAAATAAAACCGTATTAAAAAGAGTCCTTATTTTTGATACAAATTATTCATTGTTCAAATTTAAACACGAATTTTAATTCTATTTTCAATAATGTTTATGAATTTTTCTTATTTGGAAGGAGGAATTTTTTTTATTAATATGAGATATGTTTCAAAGATTTCTATTCGAATTTTTTCTACAGAATTCGCTAAACAGATCACCTATGAAGAGTATAGAAAACTTTATGTAATATTTAAAAACACCCTGTAAAATATTTTAAATGTTAAAATTCTATATCGGTGACTGTTTAAAAATTCCGTTCGATACGACAATAATTAGTAATCTAATAAGTTAATCCAGATTTTTTTACATAAATATTCGTCTAAGATCGGTCGGTGAAGTTATCATGCTGCACTGCGGGCATACTTTTTTGCTACCCTGAAAATTAAAATTTAATCTCATTTTTAAAATTTTCAAATTATATTTTTTACAATTCACGCCTCTCACATTTTTAAAGAATAAACTTACTTTTTGAAATTTGATGTGATATATTACCAAATTAATTATTATTAAGCTAATGTTAATGCTACGGTACCCTGTATTACTGTAATAAAATAAATTTAATTTTCCCTCTGCAATTACGTTAAGATAAGAATTTAATAACATGATAGTGTCTACAATGGTAATATTCGCGTAATGATGAAAGAGTTTTATAAAATTTACTTGTCGACAAATAAAAGAAGTTTTTTTATGAAAACAGGGTATTCTACAAGATATAAATTTCTTACCAATGTATGAAGCCAACATTCCTCACAGTGTACATGCCAACAAACGGTCGATATAACAGGTTTCTTGTAGTGTTCCTGCAAAAACGAATTCCCTTACAATAAAATATTCCAATCACTTAAGAGGCCACAAATCTTACCAGGCAAATTAAACATTTATAGTCTTCGGTATCTGTGCTACTTGCCGGCTCACCACCTCCCCCTTCAGCCTCGAGTTGTCTTATTCTATTTCTAAGCTCTTCTATCATGTGCGCCCTACTGCTGGGCTCAGATTCTGAGGTGCTCACGTTGCTATCGCATTGTTGACCGACACTTTCTACTTTAACTTCCACGTCGCCACTAGAATTCACTGTGGCAACCTGAAAACAATAAAAATATAAAAATTAGGAATGGTCTTAAATATTAAGTAAAAATGTATGCCTATATTGCTTATTTTATTCAATATCTAAAATATTTGGTCATATTTTTTACTAATATTTTAAAATTATAGAAGCAAATAACAAGAGAGGACAGTGAGAGTGAGCGAATAAATCTAAGAAACGCTGCACGCCAATTTAAAGGGTCATCATAGGCGTCCGCTAAATATTTAAGTAGTAGCTTATTCTGATACTGTTAACACTTTACGAGTCAACATTTATTAATTAATTTTATTTGTTTGGTGCCCAATTTATTTTTAATAATAGGCGAAAAGGACGAAAAAACTATTTAGTCAAATTCTTTACCTGTGATTGCACTCCATCTTTGTCCCTGTTTTCTTTTATCACAACATCATTTTCGGTATACTGTGAGGGACCGAATGTACTGTCTTCCGGTTCATCCCCATCAACAATAACATCATCACCTTCATTGTCTACTTCTATTCTTCCTGTACTTGTCGGTATCGTCAACCCAGCAACTAAAGAGTTAGTTCTTCTTCTTTGAGATTCGTGCCATTCTTCTAGTTCTGAGTCACCTTCAACGTCTACTGTTTCGTCTTCATCATGCATGTTCTGCAAAAAATGAAAATATGAAATTTTGGTATTTGCATTATTTTCAAATATATCTTTATTATTATTATTACTATTATTATTAATCTAAAAATAAATTTGCTTACCTTTCTGACACACCTTTCCACGTGTAGATTAATTTCTTCTTGAGTTCTCTGAGGATGGCCTGTACATATTGGACACATATCGTCAGCTTTTCTTTTTCGAATTTTGATTCGGAGTCTCCCATGCCTATTGGTCTTTATTCTTTGAAAGGTCTGAAAGAAAATTAAATATTCCATTTACTTTAACTTTTCGAATATGTGTGAAAGAAAAAAGTAATTGTCTTCACATTTTGTACATATGGAATTATCGGAGATATCAGAACTTTATTGTGGAGATAAAAGCATTTTTGGTTTTGGAGATATAGGTATATATTGATATAGAAATTCCTGACGTCATCAAATTTATTATCTAAATTAAACGATACTGGGGTGGTGAAGTGTCTTGAAATTAAAATTTCAGTTAAAATCAAAATGTCGGGGTTTTTGTTGATTTTGAGAGAATTGTCAGTGAAATTAGAGATTGTCAAAAAGCTTTTTTGGGAGATATGATATTTTGAATTTGTTTTGGAAAAGAGAAAATAAACGAGAATATATGAAAAGGTAAAAAGAGATTTTATTGCAACGTTTAGAGAACAGATATAGCAGTGAGAGGAATCGAGGCAGACAGAGGAAACCAGCAGTCCAAAAAAGTAGACAGTGAGCAGAGGAGACATGGAGTTAAACATAAAAGAAAGGTAGTGAGAAGTTTTATTTCAATTTAAGAGGAAAGTGTAGCAGATAGCAGACGTTGGAGGTCGGAGTACAGAGGAGGAGCAGGAGAATTAGGAGAAACAGGAGAAGCAGAAGAAGCAAAAGAAATAGAAAAAGCAGGGCCCCTAAGAAGAAACATTCAAATTTTTTTTTAAGTTTATTATAATTTGGTTTTTAATTTTATATTGTAAATTTTTAGAGCCGAACCACCCCCTTTTAAGAGTCTGGGTAAATTTATTAAAAAAAAATGATATACAGGGGGTTTCTATATCAATCAATATATATATATATATATATATATATATATATATACAAAATATCCCCCTTCTCTGTATCTGTAACGTGTAGGGTGGGTTACCCCCGGCACTTAAGCCTCACTAGGCCCATATCCCCCTTAACTGGATCATCTTTATTTTAAATATATAAATTTTTAAAACTTGGAGTAGCCATGTGTGAGTTCGTTGGATGAAAAGGTAGAAAAGAAAAAAGGTTCTTTAAATCTCAAAAAATGTTATAGAAATAATATAGGAAAAACTCATCATAATCTCTTATCCACTGGGTATAAACTACAAATTACAATATCGTGATACACTTCGAAACCGGCCACATTATAAAAAAATACGTATCTTTGTGAGTTTTAAAGAACCTTTTTTATTTTCTACCTTTTCATTTAAATTTTTGTATCACACATCAATGAAAAGGGAAAGTTTCAATTCCTTTAATTATGTCTATACTTTAGGAATTTTTAAGAACATATTTAATTGTAGATATATTTATTTACCTCCCATCTTCCTTCTGGGCCACTGTCTCCAGGTAGAGCAGGAGGCCTTCCTGGTTCTGGTCTACTTCTTTTTCTAGAGGCAGCTATTCCCGAACCACTCAATTTGTAGAGACGTTCTAACTCGTGCATAAAATGTGTTTCCAAATCGCCTGTAGATATGGTTAGACCACAAATTGGACAGCTTGAGGGATCACGCTTTTTCTTTTTTACAAAATCTGGAAAAGAAAAAACACATTATTAGACGATTTACCAACTATTTCTACTGCTTCTCATGTCATCAAATGCTGAAACGTATTACAGGGTCAGTTATTCAAAATAAACTTTTTTTTTAAAAATGCTGTATATTGTATGTTTTCGAAAATAGGTTTATTAGGTACCCAATTTCATATAATTTAAATATTATACAAGACAAAGCCAAGAACACTCCTGTGAGCCAATCTGTGGTATATGGTTTCCACTAGTTTTTAAAGAAGTCATTAATATATATGTTGAAAAAAATAAGACCAAGTACAGATCCTTGCGGTACTCCATATTCAACAACTCCCCAGGCAGCACACATTAGTATAACTAACGTATTTTATACGTAATACTCGTTTAATTTTGGTATTAGTCGATTCCGTATACGTTTACAGTTTACGATTATTATACATACCGTGTTTTAAACGATATATTATACGTTTTTTATATACATCCTATGGTATATAATTGTAAATTTTTCTACGTTTAAATATAGTTAACAATATACGACTATTTTTAGTTTGCGATGAACTAATTATATACAGTGGGCCTAAATATACGTTTAGGTTTATTTAAATTAAATTCCTATAAATTTACATTATATTACAATATGTTTTCTTCGTTTATAATTCCCGTTTAAATTTCGTCTTGGTTGATTTTTTAAACGTTTACCATCTATCATTTTTATACTTAACGTTTTTTAACAGATAAATTAAACGCTTTTGTTTGTCGATACGAGTTAATATACCTATATTATTCTACGTTTAAATATAAGTCACCTTAAACACATAATACCAGTTTACGATGAACTAGTAGACAGAAGTAAATAATATGTATATATTTAGGTTTATTTAAATTAAAAGCTTATAGATATTTATTTGCATTACATCCATATATTTTTTAATTATATTACCTGTAATATTTATAACAAATTCCCCATACAAATGGAACTATTTTTAGATGGCGGATGGAGAATGACGTACTAGTGGTACGGTCTTTTCTCATTTCTACTCATGCGTATGTGTAGTATTATTGTTCATGTTCAGTGTAGGGAATGGTTTGTGGGAGCAGGTTCATCGGTTCGTCCATTTTCATTTGTGTACACGTTTTGTTGCTTTGGCGTCCTGGGCTTTTACGATATTGATTAAAAGCATAGGTAAGTTTCTATTAATGTTTTAATTTAGCTACTCCTTTAATAATTGTTTCATTTTACAACAATTACTCTTTTATAGGTACGTACAGTGTGTTAAATGCTTATAGAAACTTCAAAACATAACCTTACTTTTGTTTCTTTTATTTTTATACGTATTTTTTAGGTTACCTAGTTATTCCAAGCATACTTATTTTCCTTTTTTTTTGGTCAGTTGTTTTTTATTCAATAAAATGTCTAAAATAACCCTGTCTCTGCGTCATCTACGTAGAAAAATAGCGCTTTAAAGTCAAATCAATTTTTGTTTTATTCCCAATAAAGATAACATTAATAAGGCTTCGGACATTAATATATCATCTGATTCTATTATTTATAATAATTTCCAAGAAAATAATAAAAATTTAACTTCGGAGCTTTTAGAAAATATTTCACCTGAAATTGAGTTATATTTTGGTTATAGGAATGGTGGTGAACCAAGCGACTTAACCGACCGAACGATTAGGTGTGCCATGCAAGATTAGCTTAAGTTAGCTAAGGCCCGTCTAGGACACAACACATCCAAAGTGTTAAGCTAAGATTTTTATTTTCATATATATTTTTTGTTAGTTAAAGAAAAGTTTCGTTTAGTTTGTTATTTAGTATTTTAGTGTTTATTTTTTTGTATTTATTTATTTTTTAGTATTTTGTTTATTTTTTTTTTAATTAAATATTGTTCTGTACATATAACAAGTGATCAAAAAAACTTTCTAAATATTTAGGCAAATTACAACCAAAATAGAAACACGAGTAATGCCTATTTCTGCTAAATAAAATCCAAACTATCATTTAAGAAATATTAACATTTTTCCATGGCCTCTTTTAGAAATTTTGTTTTGATCACTTTATTTAATTTGTGTTTGAAATACATTTAAAACAATATCAGGTAGACGCATTTTACACATTAATAAAAATCATACAAATATATCTAATATAGACGTATAGTAAAACAGGATAATTAAAGGTAGATAAAGTAGTAATGTTAGACGTATAAAAAATAAAAAAATATACGTTTATAGGGCGGACATTTTCACGTATATATTGGGTAGCATATCAACAGTATCCATTCGTATATTGTAGTATATAAAAAACGTATTTTATACCAAAGTGAATTCGTATAAATATACTACAACTATAAATCTAAGTAAAAACGTTTAATTATAAGTGGATAAATTCTTAGTAATCGACGTTTATAAGGCGGACATTTTCACGAATATATTTGGTAGTACATCAACCGTATTCATACGTATGGTAGTACCTAAAAAAATACGTAATTTATACCAAAGTGTGCTGCCTGGGTCTTGCACTATTGAATACATCATAGATTATCAGAATTTTTGTTTATTGGTAAGGTAACTTTTAAAAGGATTAAGATTTCCAATACCAATATCTTCCAAGCATCGCAGCAGAAGATGATGACTAACCATGTCAAACGCTTTTGATAGATTTAGAAATATACACAAACAAGGCTTGCCTTTCATTATGAAGATAAAGCAATAACGGCGTCTTAATAGATGCTTTCTCTCTAAAACCAAACTGTTCTTTTGAGAGTATTTCATATTGGTTTAGGTACGAGTATTACAGTATATTTTTTCTACGACACACTAACGAAAATCTACAAATTTAAAAAATTATTTTAGGTTATTAAGACAAAATAACTAATTTTAAAATAATTTATGAATTTTACTAATAGATTTTTTCTACACCCACATGGATATTAGCTTATCTACGTACAGATTACAAAACGAAAAAGTATGCTATTGCCTTCAACTGAACGAATATATTTCATATCCATTAGGTAGTAAGAACACTGCAAAAAAATTAAATCCACCCATCACAGTTCATATTTTGATCTACCGACTGCTATTATTTTTAAAATTTTAAATAAGTGATAATTCTGTCAAACTAATTGTCAGTATATTTTTTAGTTTTTGAGATTAAACATACATTAAAATGAACGATTCTTGTGTAGAATTAATAAATAGAATTTATATTTTTATATAATATAATAATTTGTTAATTTAAATAAAACTACATGAAGTCAATTTAATTACGAGCATTAAATAAAAAAAAAATGAATGCGTAGATGGTCCTGTATTCAGAGTTCTTGCCTTTCATACGGAAGACTCGAGTTCAAATCTCAGATAGAGAAAAATGAAATGAAGTTTTTTCTTTTTTTCTTGTTTAGTTTATCTTATAAATTACTAGAAGTCATAAATTATTTTTAAATTAATTATTTTATCTTAAAAACCTAAAATAATTTTTAATATTTGTAGATTTACGTTAGTGGGTCGTAGAAAAAATATACTGTACAACTCGAGTGGATTGTCCATATCGCCTATGGCGTCATGCTTAAATGTCGTCTTCGTGATATGGCCATCATATCCACTCTTGTTGCACAAACTACTATTTCAAGCACTTTTAAGAAGTAGGTAATTAACGCTATAGGTTGGTAATTGATGGTGTTGGTTACATCTCCTTTTTTATGTAATGGAGTAACAACTTAAATAATTGATTGTTTAAAAGCTGATGGGTATTATATCGAGTGTTCTATATATTTATAAATAGTTTTAAAATGTAATTAGTAAAAATTAATTTAATTGTTTCAGCCTTTATGTCATCAATCCCTATGAATTTCCCCTTTTTTTAAAAAAAATATAATATTTAATTACCTCATCCTGTTCTATTAGTGCAAAACACAAATTAATTAGTAATAGACTTTCTAATAATTTTAAAGTTTTCATCGCCTTTTATTTGATTTGCTAATTTTTACCAATTTCGATAAAACTTTCATTGATTTCATTAGCATCAATATGTAAATTTAGCTTTTTTAATTAAAAATGTAGGTTTGTTTCTGTATTTATTATATTTATGTTTTAATGTGAGGTTATTGGGATGTTTTTGTAAGTCACTATGCATTTTATTTTTTTGATTAATAGAATTTAAAAAAGCATTAGTTATCCAAGGACATATTTTATCATTTTTTTATCTGTGCATTTATAAATTCATTTGTGGCAGCTTCCGGATTATTAATAGTATATATCGAGTGCCAACATATGATTTGATACGTGTTATGTAGTTTCTTTTTGTGTTAATAAATTAGTATACTTACGTATACTTTGTTTTTTTTGTCCTGATTTAGTACTATCCGCAGAATTGTCGTATTATAATGATCTGTTATTGTTGACTTTAAAACTATTGATATAATATTATTAATGCTGCTGATCTTAGTTTTGAAAAAACGATACATTTGAAATAAAAGTTCTATGCTAAAAAAAAAATAATCAAGATTTAGTGTCACTATAAAAATTCAAAATTAAAATCTGGAAAAAATAGAAACGTATAGTTTTCTAAAATAACAGGAAATTGCTTTTAATTTCTATTCTCTTGGTCTTCAACAAGAAATGTCGTTATTTTGTAGAATGGCCCCGAACCAGAGCTGGAAACAATTAGTATTCATCCATTTCAGGTGATGTATTAAGACAAGCCAGCATATTTTCAGTCACTTCAGTTTTTGGCCGTGAGATCGGGGATCCGGGGTGTAAATTTCAGCAGCGAACGGTGGCTCGTGATGACTTAAGCCTACTTCATCCCCTTTTAGCTTGTGCTGATTTACGTTTGGGGTACACACGGGCATGGGTCTAGTCGAGCAATTAACAAGGTTAGCCTGGCTAATCCCATGAATGATGTCCGCTTCTGCTGACTGATACCTATGTCTGTCGCCCTCTTTACTCCGCTACACCGGGATCAACTATACAGGGTATATAAACTACTCAAAACGAAAAAGGAGCC